TCCAGTCTCTCGCAATCTATTAAATGTCAACATAAACACTCTTCGGTTTGGCACTCTTCTGTTTGGAAATCGTCGTGCATATTCTCGCACCGCCTTTAAAGCATTACCGTTGCAGAAACCGTATACAAAAACCATATCAGCATATTCACTATTAGAATACGTACGCGGCATATTGCAAAAGACAAAATTCATCTACTGTTAAAGGCTTTCAAAGAGCGACTGACAAATTCATAACAGAAAGTGGAAAATGTAATCAAATATGTCGGTGCTAGATATGGCAAGAAATGTAAACATTTTTTTTCGATTTCTCTGAAACGGAGCAAAAACGAGCATATGTCTATAGGACTTTTTTTCTTAGTTTTTTACTCCTCTACACGCTCCCGAAGTTTTGCGATTTAATTTGGAAACACCCTGTATTTGTCGATTTTGAAACACAACTCACTTTCTAAACTAAAGCTGGATTACGTAATATCATAAATTAAATTGGCAAGCAATAAGTTAATGATGGAAGCTAATGAGCATCCTTAAAATACTGTAAAGATCTTATTAGTAAGAATCTTATTAGCAAGAAGCTTTTACTTGATATTGCTTTTTTAAATCACTTTATAAGCTTAAAAGATTTTAACATGCTTGACGTTATATTTTATAGGAAAATTCTCGAGAGGGAGGACGAGTTATTTATCGTTGGCAATATATTCAAGTCCTTGGAAGTGTCCGAAGAGAAAGTAGACATTCTTTCATACTAATAATTTATATTTTTCATATTTAAAAAATTAAGACTACATAAAGAGATCACTTGTTGTAGGCTAATCAAAGGGTAGAAGAATTCAAAGCGCAGTTAAAGGAATTAAAAGTAAGATTGAAAGCTGCTGAAAAGCGTGCCATTATCGCCGAGAAAACTGTTAAGATATTCACGAAAGAAATGGACAAGAGGGAAGGTAATAATCGTATTACGCATTTTTTACAGATTTTAAATTTTCAAACTTGTTAAAACGATATCAATTATTATTAATAAATTGTCGTTCACGTTTTAGATTATCTGCTAAAAGAAAAGGAAAAATACAAATACATCTGCGACGATTTGGACTCCACGTTTTCGGAGCTTACGGGATATTAAAGTCTAAAATGGTCAATAGACTGCGAATCGATCGTTCGATTATATCGATCGATTAATCAGGAGATTTGCATTGCACAAAAACATAAATATAAATTTTCATGTTTACCGAATATCTTATGAGGTTCGCCCAGAAAATCGATCCTATGTTTATTTTACACGATATCAATTTATTTAATCGATTCTACGATCGACACAATGCATCGAAATGTCGTACCACAGATTTAATACAGTTTATTTAAATTTAATCGACAATTCGTTTTAATCGTACAACCTCCGATCGCAGAACGGAGAAAGAATTTGCGAGCTTCTTCACTTTATGGAGCTCTTGCGATGACTTTTTTGCGCAATCTCTCGCCACGATTAGATCGTACGTCCGCGCCACACTCGCGCCGATAAGCGCTTTCTCTCCCTACAATGACATACTTAATGTCATAGTTACAATAACAATTGTGCATTTGATTTGTTCGCTCACCTCCGCCATCCATATTATAAATGCAACAATTAAAGTATATTCTCCGAGCTGCACGGATTATCGCAAATGGTGACGGGGGATGCACCGAGTTGTGTCACTGCATTATCCTTCGAGGACCGTAATTATTCGCGATGCAATGTATAAAAATTCGATAAACCGATCCAAAAGTACTTTTCCGCGACGAGATTTTAAAGTAACAAATTTCAATCGGATGACAAGATCGTTTAATCCAAATTAGCTTCGTGAAAAACTGTATAGTAAAAAATTCGTTGATCAGATTTGTTCGAGATTGTTGATTAATCATTAAATACTTTTCATTAGCTTCTCACACAATTACGACAACGAAGAGAATTAACTGGTCCCTGAAAGGTTATACAAGATATATCGACAGAACTCGGTCGGTCCATGACGCAAGAAAAATGTACAAAAATCGTATCGATGAAAATGTCCCGGCAATCACACCAAGAGCAAGACGGTGAATCGCACTTAATCCTTTTCGAAGATTGCTCTATCGAATTTAATCGAACACTACGAGTTTGATTGACGTGCTTCCCTTATGTACATTAACGAACGCGTCGTACATGCTTGTATGCGCGCGTCTTGATGCCCGTGTAGTCAAACATATTGTATTCTACATATGTATTATCTACGGCCTCGTCTTCGTAGTGTCGCGCACAGCTTTTCTTAACTTATTGGCGTTATCTCGCAATAAAACCCAAAATTCTAAACATTCCTTAACATTATGGCATAACTAGAATTTATTAATCTCTCCCCTAACAGCACAGATCTCCAAGGAATGTCTTGAGGACGTCCGTATGTTCTTTGAACATCCTAAGGATATATCCTCAGAATGTATCCCGGATAAAAAGTGTGCTATTAGGGTTCCTACTTCTTTTTTCCACAAGATTAAAATTATTATCGTTTTGTATGATAATGTACTGTAAATTCGGAGCAGCTTCTTTCGCGTTGAAATAAACTAGGAAGTGGAAGTACGCCATCACAGATATCCGAATATAAAATATCGCATAGTATACTTAACTATTTAAAGTGACGTTTGTCGGCGAGAGAAAATGGGTCAAACAGGTTTTTTTACATTAAAAACGTTACCACGATTTTGGTAAAAGTTACAAAAACATGTTTCTTTTTTTTTCATTCCGGAGTTACATAAAGTGATCTCAATTAGATCCTTTAAGGTCGCGGTAAATGGTCTGCGGAATGGCAGTGTCGTAGAAATATTGGAAGCTCGCGACGTGGTAGGATGCACGCGTAATTAATTAATTCTAATGGCGATTTTTCATAGTACTTTCGAGTTCAGTCTGAAAAGGAGTTCCGTTAGTACGACTTATTGCATAATAGTAAGATTGGTCGCGTCGGATCACAAAGAAGGTGCACGACATTAGAAGAGAGATCTGAAGAAGGAGAGAGCCACGGCTCTCCTTCAAATGCCTTGGCCGAAATACGCGCTCCGTGTACAGGAAAACGTTCTACATAGAAGTCTTAGGTTTAATAACGGACTTAAAGTAATCAACGGTACTATTTTATATATATATATATATTCGTACGTATATAAACTTTACAATGCAACAGAGCCGAACCGTCAACGATCCGCTTTTTGGAGACTTGGAAGTCCGGTCTCTTCTCCTTTCCTATCTGTTCTCATCCCAATTTCTAATAACACGCGCGCACCGAATACAGGATGAGCATGATTTCCAGAATAGAGACAGTTTTGAGCTGCTTTGTATATTTATGAGAAACAAACAGGAAAACTTATTAAATGTTAATAATATAAACAAAATCTAGACAATAGAAAAATTAAATTATAAAAATAAACGGAATTGTAATAATCAGATAATTAAATCAGATAATTAAATAGCGGTAAATTAGTATCTATATAATGAGAAATAAAAAAAAATAATAAGCAAATAATCAATGATACATCATAATAAATATCTTTCCATAAATATAAATAAATTAAATCTTAGTCTCATAATCAATTGCAAGTGAAACATATTCACCTTAAGTAATATCGTAATATGTAATAAAATTTTGTAATGATTAATTGTATTCTTTAATTTTTCGATAATCCGTTTTGTAATAAGAATAAGAAGTTATCAAAAAGATTAAATAAGACGAAGAAAAACGATGTAAAACACATAAATAAAAAAAACTTCTCGGGATGGAAGATACAGCCTGTCACCTTGTTTATGATACGCGAAGTACTCTCCCATGCTCTGTTCGTACATACGATTAAGTCTTTGGTCTCGAATGGATCGCCCGCCGGCGAAACGACTCGCAGCGGTCTGAGCAAATTGTCGTTTTGGCACGCATTCGTACACGCGATTCGACGATCATCCACGCATTCGGATTCGAACTCACTCACGCACTTCACGCATTCCACGCATGTGTATTATCTCGCGTCGCGTCATAGACAAGGAAGAGGAGAAGCACGTACTTATAGATACTTTCGACTAGTTCTCTCGGCACGATCAACGAAAACACACGTTTATAGAAGAACAGGCCTTATAGTGTTGCGTTCTGTCATATAGCTATAAGTATATCGTTGATTAAATATTGCAAAAGCTAATATCTGCAATGCAAAAACTTATTTTTATATTGTAAAATAATAGTGTAATTTAAGTATTTCAGAGATTTCAGATTTTTCATCTGGCAAGAAATCATCTTCTACCTAATTTTATGTGCACACACGTGTGTTCCTCTATAATCGTTAATCTTCGTTGCCTCGATCCTCCCCGATCTTATTTATGCACGCCTCTCCCTCGATCGTCATTAACGAGCAGAACGTAATTTATCTATCGTCGACAGAAGACGTGGCAGTCGATTGGCCCTACGAATGGCCATGAGGAAATTCTTGATGAGACACGAAGGAAAGAGATCAATTTACCTAATCTTTGGCCCACGGGATTAAGAGAAAAAGGGGTGCTACCGTGGGGAATGTGACATCCGGGGGATAGATTAGACGGCGATGGAGTAATCCGAGGAGGGATTATTCTGAGTGCTTGGCCGCGACCACAAAGAGCTTCGCAGCCCCAGTTTCAGCTTCTTCAGAGAGTCGATGTCGCACTCGGCTTCGCTGAGCTCCGGTCGGTCTCCGTTCCCCGGCGTGGGTACAACCGCCCCCTGATTGCTGCCGACGAACGCGGTCTCCGCGACCGAGATCGGTGGTAGTAGTGTGCGTAGAGAGCTCCTGCTGGGAACATGCCATCTTACGAGATAGCCAAAAGAAACAGACAAGTTTACTGACGGATGTTGCGAATAAATGTATTTTGCAGGATTAATCAAGTGATTAAATGAGATATGCGCCTAAATAATAACTTAGTATAATATATAACTTTTAATATAATTTTTAATAATTTTATTAACTGTAGCTCCATAATTTTTTATATTTGATTTAAACAATGCAAATGTGCATTGGCAAAGGTTTGATTCAGAATCACTCAAATTGTATTTTTGTATATTTTAACATTGATCTGAGAGAACTGGAAATTGGAAAATTATGACAAAGTGGAATTGATTAATAATTTATACATTTTGCTATTTTATTCGTTACCTTGATCGCCCCCTCCGTGGCAGTGACTTCTGTTCGGACATTGGAGAAATGTCCGAAGACGTGCTCGACGTGCCGTGATAGATAAAGTCCGAGACTGCGCGAACTGAAACGACAGTGCATTAGAATATCGATTAGTTGAACGTTTTAATAAACCTCGGATTAGAACGTACTATGTTTTAATTTTCCAGCGTCCAGCTGATTCGACGATTCCGTGCGCGAGCTTATCAGTTGGTCCGGGTCAGACTCGCTCTCGTTCTCTTCATGCTCTGCACAGATCGGATCTTTGTGTGCAAAATACAATTTATAACAAAATTCTAAATCAGTTTTAATTTCCAATCAATTTGCATTGTTAATTAAGAGTCATATTATTTACAATTAATACAAATTAAAAATATTATAAGTATGTGATTTAATATAATATATACGTAAATGTAATATAATTTAATAGTTTAATATAATTGATAAATTAATATTATATAATATCTATATATGTATGTATATAGTATTCCATATTCCACACACTCACACATGTATAATGATATTTGTACAATGAATTTCAAAACTGAATCAAGTAATTAATAAAATCCTAGTGAAAAAGGAAGAGACGTATACCGTCGCCGCCGGTGGAGGGCTCGCGCACCCTTCGGTCATGGCGTGCTCGTGATACATGAAGCTGTGCAGAAGAGTGTTGTTCGGGTGGAGACCGGCCGCCGTGGCCTCCGCCGCGCCTCCCAGTCCGCCCAATGCGCCCAATCCTGCCAGGCTTCCCCCGCCACCCTCCGAAAGCTGGAACGTAGCGTACGGCGAAATGTCCTCCGCTGTCTCTGTAACCCATCAGAGGCATTGCCTACCTTTCAAATCGCGTCGGGCTAACTGTCTCAGTCGTCCATCCGTTTCGATCTCATATATTCACGAACAAAAAACGAAAACGCACAAAATTGAGTTTGTTTTATCTTTCAATTTGATGATATTATTTCTTACTGCATTAAGACACTAATTTGTGATTATTTTTTATTTTTAAGACTGATTGAAGAACATTAAAGAGATTTTTTCAATTTAAATTAATTAATTCTGTGCTTTAAAAACGAGTAATATGATAGACACTTTTAAAAAATTAAAAAAGAAATTTTTTTAAGAAAATTAAAAAAAATTTTAAGTAAAATAAAAAAATTTTTAATAAAATTTATTTCTTTAAGAAAATCTTGTTTTACTGTTGAGCGGCGCTAAAGCCGGCTCGTACCTGCGCAACAGTAATTATAGTACCAAACCTGGTAGTTGTCCATATCGTAACAAAGGTTCACCTGGAATCTTGTCGGGTCCTGCACCCGTATTTGCCGCTTGTTGTAATGCCACTTTATGTATCGTGGCATAATAACGTTCTCGCTGTGTCTCCGCATTCTGTTGATTCTCTTGCGACTCTTTCATCGGCCGTTGCATTTGACCTCCCAAGTATCCTGACAAACACGTTAGTTCTTCTTTACTATATACATTAAATATTTATTTAAATATCAAAAAATATATAAAAATAATTGAAGCGGAAGGAATACTCTAAAATAACTATTTTAATATATAAATTTATAATACTTATTTAATAAAAATTTATAATACAATGTTTAAATATAAAATGAAGATAATTTTACGAGAAAAATCTGAGAGGCAATATATAATTGTATGTTCATTTTAATGTTCATTTTAAATTATAGTTTACTGAACTTACTATTTTTCCAGCGAAAAGCGACGATCACCGCTGCGGCGACTAAGGCGACAGTAGCCACTAGTAATGGCAGTATCACTTTAATATCCGCGTAAAACGGCATAGCTGACGTCATCCCGCGTTTCGACAATCCTGGCGGCGGTGTTTCTGCAAAGTTACAGGAACACAGTGCTTTTGGATATAAACCTTTAAATTTAGTTTCATCGGATGATACAGATGCATCTTCGATCACGATTATCTTTCGATGAAAGTTGCACTATATTAATCTTTAAACGTCTCTCTACGGGAATAACACACAGGTGTATGGCAATGAACCTAATTTGGTTGCTTATAATTTTCATAAAAATTAACACATTGTAAAAAGTTTTTATCAATCAAAATGCTCAACATTAAGAAATATAACGATACTTAGCAAATGTGTATGTATCTTTATTAATAAAAAAGTTATAATTAATGGCGTTTAAGGATTATTTTCATGCATCAGTTGATCTACATTCAAACTTACCACCCTCCTTCGTCAACGTTACAAACGTAAACTCCGCCTGATTGCTGCCGGCCACATTATGAGCCTCGACTTTGAGTTGGTAGACCGAGCTGGGTGTTAAATTAGTTACGACGAATCGCCGTTGCATCTTGACATTGTTCGACACCAGAGTCCAATGAAACTCATTTATTGGCCTGTACTGTATAACGAAATATTTTATAGGGCAACCATTATCAGGCCAGACGTGCAATCGCAGCACTAAAGTGGTGGAATTTGGGCTAAGGAAGGCAGCCGCCGGTGGGATGCCTGGAGCTTGGCCCTGAGTTCGAACTGAGAGCACCGGTGACGATGGACTGCTACCGATTTTATTATGCGATGTTAGATATAACTGATACGTGTTTCCGCACAGGAGCCCCTGTTAAAGTAATTACAATTTCAATCAATTTAGTTTCTAGGCTAAGAAATCTCCAACGTACAACTTTATTTTCAATTAAAAGATTCATTAATCGGTTTTCATTAATGGTTCATTATTCAGAATATGTGTTAACTTTAATTCACGCTGTAATTTTAATTATAACTATATATTAATTTATTGTATTACATTTTTTGTAATAGACTCCTGTATAATGCGTATTATACAGATTTTTATAACGTTTACAACCTACGTATTATGTGGCAAAGTATCTAATACTACTTTTCTAAACTGTAATTTAATATAATTTGCGCAATTTCAAATATGTTGCAACGACCATTTAAAATTTTTGAAATGAGATTATTTCTAATATAGATTTATTTTGCTGGTAGTTATTAAATTAAAGCTTTGTGGAATCTTACAATTATTCCACGTTATAATGACTTTATAATATGATTGGTAAATGTTTACTTTAGGAGATTCAGCTCCGATGACTTTGACCTCGACATATGTTGTCAAGGTCATGATCCTGAATGACCTCCGACAGGTTTTAGTTGGCGCTCGCTCTTCGTTAAAAAGTATTAACAAAAGAAGTTTTTGTTAATAAAGTAAACATTTACCTATGATTTTATAAATTTAATAAAATTTGTAAGTCCTTTTTGTATTAAGATAAAATAAAAACAATTTCTTGTCACAATATAATATCGGATTATTTTTTTATTTCTCTACAATAAAAAAATATTTTAAATTTTGTATAAATTTTCGCAGTTAATCTCGCATAATACGGATTTCTATATAGAATCTGCGCGAGCATTATATGGACGATTTATTATGTTGTAATCTTACAATTTATGTGCTTGAAACAAGCAATATTTATACAAGTAATATTTTTTTATTAACGATTATATTACAAATTAGTTTTAGTATTAAGCCGTTGATAATTTAAATATGTTTATATAAATAGTTTAATGAATGATATTACATGTTTAACATTGATAATGACCCGATCGGAGTCGAAACGTCGTTTGTTTAATTCGTTATATTTTGATTAGCGTCTATTGCTAATATATTTTGCTTATTATTTATATTTAATTTTATTCTCATGGTTCGATCGTAGCCCCCTTCTCAACATAATTTCAATTAATTTATTACTTGAACCATTTTACATTATGTACTTTTATTACAAATTAATCTCAAGAAAGTACCTTTAGCTCGTGGCTAGTAGCATGGCGAGATAGTTGTAACTCATCAAGGGTACCGTGAGCAGTTCGATAATACAGTGTGTAACCCGTCAAAGGTGCACCACCATTATGTTCGGATTTCCAATGTAATAACACGCTACTTGACGTAGAGCTAGTTACGTACAATACGGGCGCACTGGGCGGAACTGTAACAGTAAATTTTAGACTGTAGTGTATTCTAGATTGGACTAATATTCTGCAAAATTGGAATCTATAATATAAGTTGATTTAGCTATTATCTATTAAAATCTATTTGGCAGAATATTAGCCCCTCATCATTATGTAGTAGCAATTATACATCATAATAGCTATGAACAAATGAATAAATAATTATTTTGATATTAATCCTCTGTTTGCACAATATGGGTCCTTTTTTTAACACAAATGCAATTTCACTCTCAAATTTCTCCGAAATAAAGAGGAGACTAGAATTCGGTTCCTCCTTCTAAAATATCTTATTTAAAAAACTACTTGATAATGTAATACAGACGAAGATTAATTTTGAGTTTTTTCATATTTAAAAAAAACCAGTAAAAATATTAGACTCAACAAAGGGAGTAAAAGTATGATTGTCGACGGAGGGTTACAATACTCTCTTATATAAGATTCCTACTTGTCCTTTAAAATTATGAAAATAAGAAAGAGATTTTATCGCAATGATTACCTTGCACCGTAAGAGTATAATGCAGCTTGTCACTGCCTTGAGAGTTCTCCACCTGACAGGTATAATTTCCACTGTCCTGTGATTGCAGATTCGACAACACGAGTTCTCCGGTCGTTAAGATCTGCACGTTCCTGGTGGAATCGGTGCGTATCTGCTCCGTGGTACTCTTGTACCAGTCTCTTGTTGGATCCCCGACCGCGTTGCACGCCAAAGTCGCCGAACCCCGCCATGGACGCACCACATGGCCGCCAAAGGACGTGATTCTGGCTGGCACACGATTCGTCGGTACTTGCGCGGCCACTCTCGAACTTTGGCCCTCGCCCATTCTTGTGCTACCAGTCACCCAAAATTGATACTCGACGTGTTGCTGCAAATCAGTCGCCTCGAAATATGTGCTCGACGCCGGTAATGTCTTCTTGCCGTGATTGAGCTCCTCTCGTCCGTCGACGACTCTGTGAAATGTTTTTATTATCTGTATTTTGTCAAATAAGATAAAGATTTCCATTCACATAGTAAATCTACATAGATTAGTCTTATTCGACAAAAAACATTTTGTACTTGTATTAAAATGGTCCTTATTAACATTTTTTATGTTGAACTTTTAATAGCATTAATTTAACATAATGTGATTGTATTATTTAAATATTTTATGTTAAATTAATACTTAACATTTCTTACAAGTTTCACAACTATTCGGAACCGATTTGATTCTCCATGAAATCGGTTCCGGATAGTTGTGAAATTTTCCTTGTTAGTGTTAAAATAACACAATTTGTGAGTAAATGAACAATTAACATAAAAATATTTTTAAAATATAAAATAAATGAATAAAATGTGATTTAACATATTATAAATGTTAAATTTACTGAGAAAAAATATGCTTCCACATTTTATTTAAAAACTGTCAACATTATATTTTTGTATTAATTTTTTTACATAACATTTATGTTACTTCGTAACATATTCATTTTGTGTTTAAATAAATACAAAAATTTGGGTAGATTAATTAGAGCACATGAAATGTGTAATTTTTAACATAAATTTTTCAACTGTAAAAGAACTGATTATACAAAATACTTTAAATTGCAAGATCAGAAGTTTTGTTATAAACAAAGCGCAAAAGATACAATACAAATTTTGATTTACTAATGTACTTTTACTACCTTGTATAAAGATTGTATTTCGTAATAACTCCGTTTGGCTCGAGCGGTGGTAGCCATGAGATAAAAAGAGCCTGTGGCGAACTCACGACGACTTTGATATCAGCCGGACTGCCTGGCACTAAATAAAAAAAAGCGAAAAAATATTTATTAAAACTTTGTCAATGAAAAAGATTACTATGAGGTATTAAGTAAATCACCGTCTTCCTCCGTCTGGCAGTAAATCGTAGCAGAAGGCACACCGTCGCCAATTCTGGTATAAGCCAAAACCTGGATAGTGTAATTGGTGTATCGTCTAAGCCCAGTTAAAACCGTTGTCAGAGCACTTGTTTTACGAACCTAATTATGAAATGAACTAATTAATTAAGATAGGAGAACACACGAAATAAATTAATTTGATGGGATAATCACCTCCATCTCATCCACGCCTCGCCATGCGTCCGCCAAAATCGGTTCGTAATTTAATTTATAACCCTGGATAATACCATTGCTGTGAGTGCTGGGCGGGGGTTGCCAGGACACTTGCAAAGATTGGGAAGAAAGTGCCACGCACCTCACATCTTCCGGTGGCATGCTGGGAACTACAAATAATTATTTCCAGACGATTATTACCTTAGAAATTTATCTTATAGAGAATAAAAAAGAAAATGATTTCCACGAAAGGTCTTAAAACTTCAATAATCACCATCTTCCAAGGTCTGCGTGATCAGTGGTTCACACAAAGGTCCTGGCCCCACCTGATTATAAGCTCGAACGACAAGGGTGTATCTGGTGTATGGCCTGAGACCTGTAAGTCGAAACTCTCCGCCTCCTTCCTCTCCATCGCCCGAGACGGAGCTGAAGTTGTACGATGGATTGTTTGAGCTGAAATAATAATCTCCTGATTATGCTGCTCAACCTTCAGGCAAGGAATTTATCCACAATTATTGAAAAATTTATTTATATTTGTTCTTATTATTATACATCGAAATGTTTTACACGATTGGCTATATCTAATTATATATTCCTTACTTCGAATTATATATAATATATATATTTAATTAAGGATTCAATTTCTTTGTAATAATTATACCTCGTTTCCTTATAACCGACATTGAAACCCTGTATGTCACCATGGCGAAGCTCCAATAAAGGCGGTGACCAAGTGACGAGGATTTCGGACGAGGAGAGAGGTCTGGCTGCGAGATTCATTGGCGGACCAGCTGGTTTCTGCGGTTCGGTTCTGACAAGGAGTTCCGCTGAGGGAACAGATCGGCCCGCTGGACCTTCTGCTATCACGCGTATGGTGTATCTCGTGGCGGGTTTTAAATCGTCGATTAATGCCGCGTATGGCAAGGGTGGCCCAGTAAACTCTTGTTGTTGCCATATTCCGCCTAGTAATTTTAATTTGTAAGTGTCAGAATTTTTCTTAAATACAATTTGTATTAAACTGAGAAACAAGAGGTTTTTATTCGAGACAATCGGAAGAAGAGAACATAGTTTAAAAAAATTTATTAAAGAATTAATTTATAAAAAAGAACTTAATATAGATATTTGTTAAGTTAAGTTGTATTCATCGATTTTATAATTTATTATTTCTTGTATTTTCTTGCACTTTGCGCATTTTCTTCAGTGCAATATTAATTAAAAGTGAACTTCATGTACATCGAATTTACAATAATAAGTTGAATTAGACTGCTATATGAATAAATGAAATAAGAGTAAAGAAGAGGACCAAATATATTATATCTCGATGCTTAATTAATTTGTAATATTATTATTTTAGCTTCAATTTATGATTGTGTTTCAAGTCCAACGGTATTCGGCGCATTATTTATATGTACACAGAAAAAATGTTACATTGTCACAACCAGAAATAACGATAATTTTCGTCCAATACATTTATTGGTTGCGATAACCGTAAGATGGACATATATTTACAGACATAATCGTCAAGATATGCCAATCTTACGGTTATCACCATCGTTCTTATAATCAAAAAGCGGGCTATGATGGGTATCGATGGGCTTCTTTTGGTCGTAGCAATCGTAGCAATCGTAGCCGTTTTTTCCGTGTATAATTAGAAGATGTATTAAAAATTTTTACATATAGAATTATTAGACACCAAGATGTAGTCTTGACCTACATTTGGTCCTTCTTTAACTTATTTTATCGAATTGACGTAAAATAATATTTGCCAATTTACCTTCGCCCTCTTTATACTGAAGGATATATTTGGTGACTTCGCTAGTGTCCTGCGACTTATGCTGCCACTTAACATTAATGCTGCGACTAGCCACCATAGCAGTTTCTAGGGCGCTCGGTGGTTGAGGCGGTTCTAAAACATGCGGAATTCGATATTAATGCACTCGTGTGACGATATACATGTATATAGCGCAAGAGTATTGCATTTGGAATTGAATTATTCTATATCGGGACGAATTGACCTATAAACCTGTATCGTACCTTGCACGAGGAGTTGCACCAGTTGCTGATCGCGCCCGTAAAGATTGTTCGCTTGACAAAAGTACGCACCGCTGTCAGCTGCTTCCGCCGATGAGATTTGCAATTGCGCGATGACACCGTCCGGCGTTACTTCCTGCTTCACTGCGACGCTTTATAAATGAATTTATAAAAGTTCATTAAAAGCTCTGTGAAAAGGGCACAACTATGAAATATTCATGTAACGTCGCATCAAAAGTGGGATGCTAATATTTTTGGTACAAACTCCACCTTTGAGCAGCAGCATATTTCAGTATTCTCTTGTTAATAAACGGATTATATTTGACCCTTTTAACCGGGATGACCGGGATATATATGGCTCTCCTGAATTTTTCAAGTGGATGCGTTTTACATGCCTGCGTATGCTCCCTATTATCAGTCCGGAATGCATTATTAATACCGTCGCATCTCATTTGCTAAATTCCGCTCAATACGATCGATTTATCGACACTAACGTGCCGCTCGCAATTATAAACCATCCATTTCATACCGAACGACACGATAATCTAACGAAAATCGCAGCGGGCGCAGAGATTTTGCTCCGTTTTAGTTAATTCATCACGATCGTATTGATTTTCACGCGCGTCGCAGTCAATCCATTCTTCTCTATGATTCCATACGAATGGTTAATCTTGACTTACCGGTAATTCGTCGAGGGATTCAGCTCGCTTTTACCGCCTTTCAGCCAGGTAACGGTAACCGGCTTATCGCCGTGTACTTCGCAGTGTAACGTCGCCGTGTCCCCTTTTTTTACGGTAACGAGTCTCGAAGGCGCCGCGAAATATGGAGACGCTACAGTCGTAAAACAATATAAAAAAAAATGTAAGTTCAATGATTTAGAATTTTAACGTTTCAAATTAAACGCAAACGCTTTTGTGTTGTTAATACAATTGGTCTGTTTTCTGTTCCTGCACTAGACTGCAACTAGAACTCTCTTTCTCGCTTTCGATAAATATCAAACATACATCTATCTCACTCTAAATTCCAAAAGTGTACACTAGTTCAGCCACAGAAAACAGACCTCATATTATATTGAGCGAAATATTTAATTACAAAATGTATTGCGTGATGCACTTTACTCACAATTGACTTTTAATTGCACGACTTTGCCTAAACCGCTTCCAATGCCATTACTCGCATGACACAGATAGAAGCCTTCTCTGTCTTCTTTCACGTGTTGCAGCAATAGAGTGCCATTGCTGAGGATCTTGGTATAAGTTCTTTCGCGCAACTCCTCGTAATCACCGGCTTTGCTTCCTGTTAACAAGTGCCGCGTGAGAAAGTCAGGCCGATTGGTGCTCAACTTATGTGAAAAAAATTCTATCGCGCTTTCTCGACTCTTGGAAAGAAGTGATATTTTATAAATACACTACCGGAAATTGCAACATCAAAAAGTAGACATTTAATTAAGACGAAACTGTATCCCAGACAACCCGTACTGTCTAGAAGATCTCTTTATGATGTCTTTTAGATAACTTTTAGACATGTATGTCCGAAATGACATCTTTATAATGTTTTTATGACGTTTTATTAGACATGCATGTTGCCTGAAATGTTATCTTTTATGGGAATCGTATATATACTTAAAGTTTAAGAAATCTACGTTCAATATTAATTTTTAACTCACTAAGGGAGCGGTATGTATCAGCTACACATACTTCCTTTAATAAATAAATAAACGTAAAGACTTGTGAGACAGTTGTGTAATAAAGTCACTTTATTTGCAATCGTCTCACCGGTGGCTTTCTTCCATACGATCGTCGGCGTCGGGACGCCCTGCGCCTGGCAATGCAGCGCAACGTGGCGATTCCTTTCGACGCTTACGTCGGTCGGCTCGACGATCCATCTGGGCGGCACTGTAACGTCAGAGACATTCGCTTTACATGGATCCATCACGTGTGCGCCAGCAATTCAAATTTATTACGTCTTGCTTTACTGGTCGTTAGCGATTTAGAGACAGGTACGTTTTCATGATAGAGAAAAAGAGATAGAGTAAAAGAGATAGAAAAGAGCCGTGAAAAGCGCGGCGCAAAACGAAAGAGAGCTATGGTGAGCTCATGTCGCTTCGACGCGCAACGCGCCATTCTGTACATCAAAGAGATCGAATCTCAAACGAACTGATAAAAAGACTGGGAAAGAGAAAAAGAGATGCACCGAAAGAGATGGTCTCGCGCATGAAGCTACGCTGTTTTCGTTTGATCTTCTCTCTTTGGAATGCACGCGTTCTCTATATTTCCACGCGACTTTTCGCATTTTCTCGAATCTCCCGCATTTGCACGCGATATATTCGCGGATATATCGCGCGATGAAGAAACTGATAAAGATACTAATAAGAGAAGATAGAGTGAGAATGAAGGTAAGTATGCGGATGGGGCAGAGTTGTGGAGAATCAGGGGGTCATGAATCGATGCGAGGCGTATTTCGCGGGTGTCAATTGATATATATATAAAGTCTCGTGTCATTCGCACGCCAGGCAGCAGCAGACAATTCACCTCTATGTTCAACACCGCAACAGGGTAACAAGGAAAGTGATAAGGGCGGGGGCAATCGATCATCTATTATCTGCAACGTTAATTCTCCTAGGAACTACCAACAAGGACAACGAAACGAAGGCGTCTCTATGATAGCGCGCGACAATAGTACGTATAACAGCTCTTAGCTCGTAAGACAAAAAAAGAAAAAAAAAAGAAGAAAACAGACGGATGCTTGGTCGTCGAAGTTTCTCGATCCCGGCGCGAGATTTTGCGTCGCGCATCGATTTGTCAACAAAGTCTCAAAGTGGGGGGTGGTTCTTGTACGATCAGGTGTATTGTTTGGCAAGGTTCTACTTCTTACTGTGGTGAAAAAAACGCTGCACAAGCGAGATACTGTGAGTGGGAGTTTCCAACGTTTTACAAGACGGCAAAGTATCGGCCACGCATCGATCGCGTGCGACAATATATAATATATATAGATAGATAGATAGATATATAGATATATATATATATGTATATAACATATGTAACGTGAGTATACAAATATATATACTCGAGCCCAAACGGTGGCGTGTGTGAAACAAGTAGAACTCTCGGAAAGTGGTACGCAAAGGGCAGGAAGTGTTTGGATGCGGAACTCGTGAGGGTGACGAATAATAATAATAATAATGATACCAATAATAACAATATATATGTATATATAAGTACCCGCGTCTAACGACTAGTTCAATAAAGTACGAATTTAATTAATGATATACGTACTACTAGCCTACATTTTTTACCGGTCGCCGACGAGGTGGAGGATGCGCGAGCTCGGGTATTCTTACGAGTTTAAGCTATTGTATCGAGTATCACGCTAGGAACTTGAAGTTTTATCGGCCGCCGACAAGCTTAAGGGGTTTTTATCGTTCTCTTAAGATCATTACTTTCCGTACTTTTACGAAAGAGAGCTCGCAGGCGCGTTACGTGAGCGTCCGGCATCCTCGTTCCTCGTTGCGATGAAAGAAATATAAAAAAGAGAAAGAGATACGGACGAACAGAGAAAAAGAGAGAAAGGTAGTGAGAGACGGAGATAGAAAGATAGAAACAGAGAGATAGAGAGCGAGAGAAAGTTTGGTGAGAAAGCATGCAGAAGTGAATAAAGGTTGTCTTCCAACGAGCCCAAAGAAGAGCCAGCGCAAAGGTCGGTGAAGATTGATCGTGAGCGTAGTGGCACGTGCTCGCACTTGGGTGATCAAGATACTTCGATATATGTATATATATTATTTAAGTAATAATTCGATAAACACACAGACACACAGAGAAAAATATATACATTTATATTTACATGTAAAAATGTGATGCAGGCAATAGTGGTCTACAACTACTGAAGTAAAGAGATCATGCCGAATAAAGTGTCGATGCTCACATACACGCACGCACGCAGGCCAGAAAAAATTTTTTTTTTTTCGTATTTAGTTATTTGTAGCTGCAGTTGTTGCTGTTGTTGTTGTAGTTGTTGTAGTTGAAACGAGTAAAAAATAAGGAAAGGTGCAAACTGTTACCTTTATTATTCGGTCAAGTCAAGCAAACCTCGGGGGTCCACGAGATACCGACGCATTCCCAGAGAGCCAAAGCAACGCAAATGTAATACACACTGTGTCTAGGGTAAGAAGGAGTACCGGACGGATCTGTGGGAGGGATTTGACAGATTTAAGGATGAGGTGGAAGAGATGGAGGATGGGAGCTTAATGATCGTGATCTCGCCCGGGGGTGAACGTGCTGTCACTCGAAATCTCGATGGATACGTCTTTAAGCCGTGGAGCCAACGTGGAGTACGGTCTCTCTAAATGTCACATCCTGGCGAGAACACAGCTATGATGAACTATGGTGAAGCGGGACCGAGTCAATAAGCGCGATGATATGTCGATGTCGGTGGATGATGAAATGGCGACTAAGACTGGAGAATGAGGAACGATGGAATGGATATTCATAGGATGTCGTTTTACCCCAACAAATTTCGAAATTTCACGGTATTACAAATACCTACGTCGCAAATCGTTGAAAATTCATTTGATACGTTTCCTTAATATTACCTGATGTCAATTATTCTAGTGCATGGCAAGTTATTTATTAAATGTATTGTATATACATATCTTAAATTTAGGATATTAAAATTAATACTCGTAGGTTAAAGGACTTGAACAATTTTACAATGTGCTCGAGATTCTTTTAAATCTAGAAAAAAATGGTGATTATAGATTAGAAATATCATTGAACTTATATCGGGGTGAAACGATCGAGGGGAATGGCAAGGCGATTATTAGGAACGCTAGGAAAAGGGTTGGCGATCATCTAGTTACCTTTTACCTGTAGCTTGGCCGTGTACCTGACCTCGGCGGCGGGGTTCGCGGCGACGCAGGTATAGTCACCGGAGTGCTCGGCCGCGAGATTCGTTATACTGAGGAGGCTCGAGTAGGGATCCAGTTGGGAGACGTTTGCGACGGACGCCAGATTCGGCGGCAAGGGAAAGGGACTTTGGCCGTCTTTCAGCCAGGATATGGTCAAGGGTGGATCTCCCGCCGCGACCCCGCACACCGTCCGCGTCCGCATCCCCTCGGATAGTCCCTCTTGGAACGTAAATGGCTCAATAATAGGGGGTACTGGAAAAGGTCAAGAGAGAAGAGAGAACCATACGTGAGAGCAAGAAAAAGATGGCACCAAAAAACGCAAGAACCTTGTAATACCAGGTATACGTGTTCTTTTCATATATATATGCACAAATATATATATATAGGTTTATACTGTGAGACGGTATGTGTATATATATATATTTTTCAGTTCTTTTTGCTTCTGTTCCTTCCGCTTCATATAAACAGTGGTACGTCCATGTATATATGTAGATATATATATATAGAATATAATATGTATATATATGTAGAATATGTACAATAGAGGCAGTATAGTAACGTAGCAATGTAGAGGAGAGAGAGGGTGGCCCCGCCGCGGACCTGCCCCTGACGCCCTCACACCTTATACACTTAAATTGGCATCGCACACTTGCGCGCAGCATCCGATCCTTTCCAATTAACGTGAGAGCGAGTCTTCATCTTTCCGAAGCTACCGCTTCGTTTCCTTCAAAATACTTAATTATGTTTTAATATTTTTAGAGAAATAAAATGATTTTCTTCGTGTCTATCTGAAACGCTGTGACAAGCACCGCTAAAATTCAAAGACATTATAAAACGTGAAAGAGATAGTTAAACAGATACAACTGTAAACGTCTGGACGAAAAAAAAAAGGAAACGTGCGGTGTCGCTCTCGAGAAGTCGAAGCGCAACTTCCTTAAGAGGACGTGTGGGAGAGGTAGAGGCGGGTATCGTGCATAAGGAAAAGTCACGCTAGGCGTGAGCAATCTTTAGTTACAAGTCACCAAGTCTCTACGTTCCTTGGTGACGAGAAGTCGACGAGGGTCCCGTCGTGGATTTGCTTGGAAGCGCATCGTCAATGGCTCGAGCTTTGATCTTTGTGTTAGGATGAACCATTCACAGCGCATTTTGCTGATCAATCCCGCATGTTACCGATTGCTGGATCAGAATATAACAATAGCCGTTGACGATAACGACGACGCAACTTCCACGTGCAGCTTCCATTTTCGAGCCCGGCCGATATGATTCGCACGCACGCAACGGGCACACACACGCACACGCAAAACTCGGGCGGTCAGGCGGTCGTTGGGCAAATTGTAGGGGGCCTAGAGGAGGATTACCATGAACCACAAGCCGCTGCGTGTGCGATACCTCTGCGGCCACGTTACGGGCCACGCACGAGTAGTTGCCGTTGTGATCTGGAGATAAACTTTCAATCATCAGTATGCTATTGTACTGGTCCATATTGGTGACAGTGACACGTTCCGACGGTCCCATAGAACGTCCATCCTTGAGCCACGTGATGGACAGCGGCAGATCGCCTCTGGTCACCGAACAAGTCAGGGTGGTGCGTTCGCCGAGATGCAGGTCGCGATCTGCCGTGAACGGGCTAATTTTGGGGGGAACTGGAATAATAACAACGAGACAGCTCGTGAGCGCACGTTACTATATATAGACGGCAATCGGTAACATGGCGCGTGTCTCGGGCCTCCTTCCGTGTAATCCTAAAACTTATCTACCACCCCTGACGACAGTCATGCTCTGCATGACTTTGTATTTGCTCTTCATTTTTCGATCGATTATAGCCCCTTATTCATTTTTCCAGTATCATGGATCGTCCTTTCGTCTTGTCACAGCACCCATCGCCAGATCGTCGTCTTCGATTGGAATGGTCCACCTGCGACAATTCGTTGCAATAGGAAACCGGAAATGAGGCCTTACCGATTACTGCGACGTCTCCGGATCTTCTGGCGCTGTGACCTTGCTTGTTCCTCGCCCAGCAGGTGTATACTCCAGCGTCACCCTTCTTCTGCACACTGCTGATCATCAGGGTGCCATCCGTGAGTACTTTTTGACGCAGATCGTCCGGTAATTCGCGATTAGCTCTCTCCCATTTGATTTCCTCGATCGGATATCCAGCCACCGGGCACTTCAAACGGAGAGTTTCGCCGGCAACGGCGGTCACTTTCGGGATCAGGCGTATGTACGGAAGTCCTGGACGGGATATTTCACGTTTATGTATGTTTTTCTTGATATTTTTAGCTCGATAAGTCTCGAGCTGACGAGAAACTATGACAGGATCGATAAACAGTCGAATAATAAGCCAAAAACATTGTCACGCGATTTAATCTTCTATATTATTTAAAACGAAAATATTTTTATATAATGTACTTTTCTAGATATTAAAATTTAACCCTCCGGAGCTGATGTCAAAATCTGTAACACAGTTAATGACACAGTTACTGGCCATTTTAATTCCTTAAAATTAATTAGTGCCTTTAATTAATGTATACTCGTAGTAAATGGATCTATGAAACCCGTTTAATATAGGTACGTTAATTAAAAGGCACTAATTAATTTCAAGGAATCAAAATATCCTTGTATACAAAAGATAACTCGTAGAAAAAAGAATTAATACTAGTATAAGTATATTTTAATAAGAATAATCCAAATTTGCAGATGTAACATAAAGAAATTGAATTCTTTGACATTTCTTACAAAGAAAGGAGGAGTCTCTATAAAGGCCGATTTCGGCACCCTCTAGATTTTGTTTAAACACATAAAAAATTTCCAGATAATACGTATATCTATAAAATACGTCAAAAAGATTTAAACCATAAGAGTGTTGGTGGTAAATGTAGGACTGATTAGTTACAAGATAACAGGTGTCAAATACGTCCGTTTAAGCTAAAATCATCTGATTTCGATAATTCTTACAATAATAAAACGTTTCCAACTATTTAAAATGAAATTGAAATTAGGCCGAAAACCGGCTTTATGGAAACTCCTATGGCAACACCATCGCTCCGTTTAAGCTAAAATCTCTTTAATTGAATATAATTGTTTATGTGTTATTTTTATGTGTTTAAAAAAAATCTGGAGAGTGCCGAAATCGGCCCTTATGGAGACTCCTTGTTTATGATTGAATGGGTCAAATAGATCCATGTCAGTTCCAGAAAGTTAAATTCGTAACATTTTCACATTTTAATTAATGTCATATAATAGTTAAATGCTGGTCAGTTCCTAATTTTGGCGAAAAGTGTGATTATATTATAGTTTATACAGGGATGATGATTTATGGTCATAAATTAGTGACAAGTCATTAATTATTGATGCTACTCGATATCAAAAAGCGAGAGGCGAGCCACATATCCCTATGGCCAGTTTTGGTGCGGCTACACTGCGTGAAATTAATTACAATTTGTCTCACATTATACACGATGATAATTAACGGAAGGTACGCACCGTAAACATTCAGTCGTGCAGCATGTGTCACCTTTCCCGCGCGATTTTCGGCTGTGCAGGAATATTCACCTCCGTCCTCCACCATTACGTGGCTTATATTGACGTGGGATATAACGTCGCCATGCACTGTCACGTATTGACCAATGACGAATCTTGCGCAAAAATCAACAAATTTTGATTTGAAATGCAATTTACAAATTAATGCATCGTGTTCGATAAATTTGTAAAGTATGATTGAATATTCCGCGCGATATTCATTTAAAAAAAACAATACCTTTTTAGCAAATTCAAGCTGTATACATATACATATAACTTAAGACAAAACATTAAAAGGGCAAAGCGACAAATAATAGCGTGGTAATTCATACGCGAATAAAATAAAGCACAATGGATTGTAATTAGGAATGAAAATCTACATGATTTCATAAAAGTAGTTTCGACTCTTCTTGAAGTCATCCTCAGCTTACAATTGGCATTTGATAATAAGACTCGTTTTCATAATACATGGTTACTCAAAGATTAAAGGTTAAAGGTTAGAGATTAAAGGTTATCAAGAAATTTATCAGTGAAATTCATTCATTCATGACCTTTAACCTTTGGGTAATTATATATTGTGAAAAGGAATCTATATTAGTAACATCCTTACAGTATGGACAGAAAAATCTTTTATTAGAGAAATATCATCAAAGGCATATGACAAGTGCTAAAATAACGTTAGAATGGATATATGTTCCGCTCCAAATCAACATTTAACACAAAATTTCGATCCATAATATAAAAAATAATAAGTCATAATAAGAAAAATTCTAGTCACAATAAATATATAAATAATTAGTAAAGGCTGAGCATTCAACATTAAGTCAAAATTAACAATTCTCCTTTATATCTTATACCTCATAATACGTTTGATTTAAAGTAGAGTCGCCAACGAATATCTTCCACATTTTTCACTTTTTTAACGTGAAATAACGATTACAGAGTAATCATGTTTCTCTATCGCAATAGCATCGCGGGCAATAGTATCGCGAAGCCGTGTAATAAAAGCACGATAAAACTGAAGATGGTAAAATGATACGTGGACCTTTCACGAGAAGCGCTTCGCATTTCTATCTGTTATCGGTCTGACGCGGGCTGGACAGCTCTCAAATCGGCGCAATCTCGTGAATCTCGGTGAGTGCACGTGAATCCCCGGCGTTATCGTTGCGCGTTATCGTTTAGAATTTGTCACGTTCCATCTCGATCGCGACGAGAATGAAACTACGGCCGCCGGAAACTGCGTCCGGTAGCGAGCCAAGGGGAATTCGAACGACGGGGGTAGAAAACCGGTGATAAAATGGGATACGACGAGGTCCGCGAGATGGTGGATCCTTTACGCCGATCTGTCATTAAACTAGACGCCCGCCGCTGGGACTACTCTTTCCGAGGCAGTATACGCCATCCGCACGATAAATATTCTCGTTTCTGTCTGGGATATTACACGCAGAATTGCCACGCGTATAATATAATACACGATCGCGAACGACACCGTCAGAAATTATAGTTCAATTACGATAGTGATATAAATGACGTTTAAGATGCCTCGCGCAATTTATGGTCCGTTCAACTTTTTATTTTAGGAACATTGATTCCAATAATTTTAGTTATTATTTTTTCCGAGTTCTATTAACAACATTAATAAATAACGCGTTATATGATAGGAAATATGTTATAAATTAAGCTGAGGATGATAAACAAGACTGTGAAATGTTTGCCACACAAATAAGTTAAACATGTATAAATGCATAATGTAGACTTAGAGATAAAGGAAATAATAATATTTAGTCTGTGGAGTTATACATACTACATGGAAAGAACGGTTTTGTTAAAGTGTTAAAAAATTTAGGTTGATACAGATTCGAAAATAAATTTATTGAACCATTAAAATAGTAGAACGCTCAAACCACTTGCTAGAATCTTGCTAGAAGCTTGTCAGAACTTTTTGCAATGAATGAGATTCCTTGTATAGGTGCTTCCGCAACACACACATCAGTAAGTCGGGTTGCTTATCTGTCTATGGGCAGAGGCATGTTTTATGTTTAACGCAAAATAAAAAAAAAAGATTAGATCGCAAGTTTGGCGGAGAATGAGACAAGAGAAATTGAATTTTACATTCTGGTATAGTGTAAAATTCAATAATATGATATAAAATATGTATTTAATAATACAAATAATATCTGACTTAATTTAACATAAATGAAATTTAATAAATATTTAAAAATATATAATTATTTATAATTAAATTAAATAATTATTAAAATTAAATAATTATATCCCATAGACAGATAGGCAACCCGACTTACTGATGTGTATGTTGCGGAAGCATCCTGTACGTAATTATTTTGATGATTCAATGAAATTACTTTCAGATCTGTGTCTAATTAAATTTTGAGATACTTCAGTAAAATCTTTCTTTCAGTGTAAGTAAAAGGATGGATAAATGTGTGTGGCGTAAGAGATTTTTATAAACTTCTTCGTAATATGAAAGCTGAAGCAAATAAAAATAGTAACGCGTTATGTATAATTCTAATAACTAAAAAAAAACGAAAAAATATAATGTATTTGACATTTATAGTTATAAGATATATATGTATATAATTTAATACCACAATCACGTACAAATGACACTTATATTTTTCTTTCTTTCTTTCCACTTTTTGTTTTTTATGAGGTCATTAGTCACGCTAGTAAATTAAAAGATATCACCTCCCGAACACGGAATAAGAGCAAACATGTAGGCTATTTCAAAGAATTGGGACGAGCTTACCTTCCATTAGTCGGTAAGGGAAAACCGTCCAACGCCCATGATACTTGAGGTGTAGGATTTCCTGCGGCGGAACATTTTAAGGACACGGCGGGTCCTGGCTGGAGAGTCTGCTCGATGAATGAGTACAGGAGCACGGGCGGCGCGTCTGGAACGTTAATGTGTAAGGCGAGCTTAATTACGCGAAGGGAAACAAATTTATGCCGTTAACCGTTACCGTTAATCAAAGTTGCTAGAACACGAAAATACCTGGGAGCGATCGTTTAAAATATAAAAGGAAAGGGAGAGAATCATATTTCCGTGATGCGGAATTAATGCAAATTCGATATCGTGGATAAACCAATTCCTCGTTCTTAAAAATTTGATGAGTTCAAATTTATACGTTTATATCGGTTAGATCAATGCGATTAAAAAGTTCTAAAAAATAAAAAGAAATTTCATAGAAAAAGATCTTACATGAGACACTTAACAGAGAAAATCATCAAATATCAGAGAAACAAGTCTTTAAATAAAATATTAATGAGAAAATAAATTACATTTTGTCAAATACATCCGAACAGACCAGCAGGATGATATCATGCAATTCAAGCTGGACATCAAAAAATTAAAATTCAGGCTGGAAGATTTTATCCTCATATATCTGTTTTATTCCGTTGTATTTATTATGCTATGAATATGTGGACTACTGGTATAATCCACGCAAGCACTGCCACTCGCCATTAAACTGCTATAGTGCAGCGGGAGTTAAACGAAGAAGCGAGTCGGTGAAAAGAAGGCGAGCGAGGGCTCACGATATCCTGATCCTGAAAGCCGCCACGCCCAACGCGATAGAATACGAGAGACAATGGGCTCACCGTCATGGAAGCGCCACGCAGATATTTCTCTTTTCTTCGTCGATGTTGCTCCAGAGCAACACGGGGAAAACAGAACCTATCATGCGAAGTCCGAGAGAAAGAGCGGGAAAAGAAGTTTCCGTATGGATTTTCACGAGAGAGCACAAGCTCGGGATTGACCGTGTCGATGTTTCCAACTGCGCCCGTAATTAAAAGCGTCGATTCTGCCATCATTAAAAAAAGCTCCGCTGTCGCGTCGTGAGGAGTAGAATGTGATTCCGCAGCCCTCGAGAAACGAAAAAGGAAGAAAAATCTCATCGTTCAAATGAATGCCGGAATCCTCATCGTGCTCGCGAATCCATGCACAAATTGATAAATCCCGTCTCGAGTCCTCTCGGTGATCATCCCGGCGTACTCGTAGTCGCGTCGTCGCGGCTCTTTCACTTCCGGTCGATGAGATGGAATTTTAAGTGACGGTGACGTCGGTATTACAATATCTTGGAGGAAGATGTTCGCCGCTCAACGGGATTGTATTTTACCGCTTTTACGTTGATTGTGTCCGGCGAATAATTAATATCCATTATCATCGCAACGTCTGTCAAAGTGTGCGAGTTTTTAGACAAAATAATGATGAAAGTTTATAGTAGAAATATCGACACGCGATACATTCATTCGCGTATAATTATATATTATATTCCAATATAGTATTCGAGATCCTTTTTTTTGTAACGCGATCTGAATTTTACAGTAATAGAGTATAATAATTGGATTTATACTTTTATCTTTCTCTGGCATTCGCGATATCGTCGCAGTCATTTCCAACGAAGCAATATAAAAACGGCAAATTAAAGCACTCGGACGTTAGTCGAATCGGTAAAAACGCGCGTTGCGAACGCACACAGACGGTTTCGCTTGAAACACGAGGAATTCATTTTGAGTAATTTGGCAGTTCTGTTCGCTCGAGGAAATGACTTTTCTGCCGTCGCTTCTATTCTACTGCGTACCATAGAATTCGCGCATTTGTTCAAACGCTTGAAATTGTAGCGAGCGGAATTTTATGTATAGTAGCGATACACGATATTCATATCGTGAATTTCATATGCATTACTACTAGTACGAGAGAAAAAAGAGAGAGAGAAAAATTTGATAAAAATTTGATAAAAATTAATTTTCCTATCTGACAGTCACAAAGAGAGAGGAGGAGAGATTTTCGGATATTAAATCATTAATAATCAATCGTCGACATCGATTTTATAACAGCAGCGACATTTTGTGCAAATCACTTCCTTCTCCGGCCGTCAATCGCAAGATGATTGAATCAATAAAACGCTAATTGCAAGAACACCGGTAACCAGATCAATCGTACGCGTGCTATTTGCTACTACGTCGAGCGAATTTTACAAATGAGAGGTACTTGAATTTCGCAAAATGCACCTCATACAATTTGCGCTCTCTTCGGCCTGGGAAATAACCCTTTTTTTTTTAACAGCCGCTCAAGTTCCGACTGGGCCACAATGCCAGGCTGCTTTTCTCATCCTCGCGCACGGCAAAATTGCATCGGAGATAGTTTTGCCTCACTCGCTCGCGCAAGCCAGGGTGTCCTTGCCGTCGGCGTTCGCTCGCTCGAATTCTCTTTGACGTAAATTCCGTGCATTACTGACGCTGACGAGCGAGAGACACTAACTTCATTGTTGTTTCAAAGGCCTCTCCACCCTGCTGGTCGCCCTGCCCTGACACTAACACTCCCAGAACGAGTGGTCTAGATATACGGGGTGTGTCCGGTCACAGTGCGGCGCGTTAATTATGTATTAATGACAGGTTCTTAAATGAATTTTTAATAGTTCGCGAATACTTTATAAATATCCGTCGCTCTCGCCGCGCGACACTTTTCAAAATTTTCATCGTCGAATATTTGGAAGCAAAATTCTGAATTAAATATCCGCTAAAGCACAATCCATTGGAGGCTAATTAAGTTCAGTTCACGAAAAGGAAAACTTCTTGATATCCTACATTAAATATTCGTGTAATTAGAGTTGTAAAATTGTAATTATAGAACAGAAGAAAGGTACAAAAGGGAAAAATCGACTTTAAATTTATCGATGAATCTATTATTAAGATCGATATCCTATAAGAGATGAACGAGAGAACGATAAACCCGTTGAGGTGCTGCAAGAACGATGCGAGAATGGGAGTGCACAGTTGCAAAACGAGTTAAAAGCGTTGTAAAAGAAGATTCCTCTCCACTTCAAAGTGATGCCTACCCTTCGGCCGGTAGCCCGGCACGCGGCAGCAGTGCCTCTTTGCCGAGTAATCGAGTTCTGTGTAACTTGATAGGTAGTATAACGCGGGCTGTCGATCGGTGCGCAGTGTCTTCTCTCTCGCTGGGACACCTTTGACAGCGCCTTTCGAGGATGACACGAGAATGAGAGCGAGAGAGGGAGAGAGGGAGATGGAGAAAGAGTAGAGAGAGAGAGAGAGAGAGAGAGGCGCGGGTCAATATCCTGGCGCAAGGAGATCGAGCCACAGTATTAAACGTCTTCGTTATTATATGGATTATCTCTGGGGATGATACCTATACTCACGATCGAAACATTGTTATTAGTACTTTCCGCGTGAACCGTGAAACGAACGATTGTTACACCTACCTTTAATAGTAAATGTATTTAATCGACAAAATGTCTCTTCTTCGTGCTCGAGTAGAGGGTTGCGTTTCTCCCCCCCGTCACCGGAGTTAAAATTAAACTATCCTTATATATCTACGTAAAGTTGTTTCTCGCCAAGACGAGCATAATACTCTCCCGTGATGCTTTCAAATTAGTTAAAGCACTTAACCCTTTGGTGCTACTTCTGTAGCGTGTAGCATAGGTTTATAACACCCGAGATTAATTCTTTTACTTTGCTATGCTATAATTTTTTTTGTTAATAAGAATGATACGTATATTTTCTTGTTTATATCATTATGCGTTTCAATTAAAAAAAAACTTGTAACTTATTATAAAAAATATGTTTATTCCTATGCAATATTTTTATACAATATTCCTATGGTATATACGTGATAAAATGCTATAGAGTGGCACTGAAGGATTAATATGTTTATTCAATTTCAAATGTAACTTAGAAATTTTATTAGATGTACTGTTGCACATTAAAGCAGCAATTTATGGCAATATCAATCTCTTAAGTTGTTATTTTTAACTTCTACGTATGTCAAAATGTAAATTAATCCATTTCTGTGATTAGTTTCAAAATAAACATATTACCGTACGCACTTAGTAAATATTAAAGAGCCAAATATAATATATTTTCCTGATAAATTGCAGTTTAACTCTATTGTTTTAATTAAATTAACAATATATTGAGTAGGAGTAGTGGTGATTTACATAAATAATTAAAAATAACTCAAATTGGATATAATTTGACATTACATTGAATTTAATAGTGTATCCTACAGAAATTTTCTAATTATTTCATGTTTCTAATTATTTTCGATGTTTTTCCATTAACACATCATATTTATTCTAAAATTTGAATTTGTGGAACACACTTTCTCGGGTATATTTGTAATTCGTAACAGGGAGACGGATACCGAAGAAAGTATTTACATACCGCCCAGTTGAAGTTCCGCTGATGCTTGAGCTGTATCGCCTTCCGACCTTCTCACAATGCACTGATACATGCCGCGGTCTTCCCTTCCAATTCCATTGAGCTTCAGTAATTCCGATTGCCTTCCTGTCCCTGGAAGTTGCCGACCGTCCTTGTACCATGTGATAAAGTGCGGTCCAGCCTGCGGATGCGTGCCGACCTCGCATCTGAACTCGGCGTTGCCACCTAAGTGAACACTGAGCAACGGAGGCGTCACTTCCACGTGAAGAGGCGCCGTCACAATTAACCTACACAATTAAAAAATTTGTCGTAACATGTTTGTTATAATACATTATAGATCTTAACAGTCACACAGCTGGTTAAGGAAGTTATTCTCCATACTCGAATTGGCAATCATCTCAATCCATCAAATAATAAAAACTTCAAATTACAAGCAGTGATATTCGCTGAAGATGACTTAAACAAAGTCGAAACGTTCGTATTAATAAAGAAATAATGTTATAAACTTATTATTTGATATTATTATACAGAAATAGATATACGCTAAATTTAACTGCGTTTGCTCTCAATTGTCCATATCTCACATCGAAAAATTTATGATAGCATTACGAAATGACGCGTAATGTAACGATTGAAATAAAATGACGTAATTGAAAATGGATAATAAATGGACTTTAGATAATGCAATAAAGTTGACATTTGAGAAATAATTTATTTGAACTTTTAACTTCCATTACCTGATCTCAGCGCTCGCTTCGCCACCAGGATTAGAAGCGGAGCAGCGATATACACCGCTGTCTTCTAACGTTACCGCTTCGATGGCCAACACAGAACCAAGAAGTCTGGTTCTGGGTCCAGAGAGTACCAACATTGGTTCTGCTCCTGTTTGCGCAAACCACCTGCGAACGAAAATGTTTTCAACTTAGTAACCATAAACATTACTACATTTCTTTAGGAATTCACGATTTTAGCTTGAATGTGGATGAAATAAGTTTTTAGAAGGCACTTATATTATATGGGTAATTACAAATAAAATTAAAAATATATTACATTATGTATATTTACTACAATGATAATAATTGTCATTTTTCAGTTAATTTAAGGGGAAAATAAAGAAATATGATAAGATAAAAAAAAATGGAAATATAAAGAAAAAAAATATTGTACTTTAAAAGAACATACTTTATTCCTTTACTATTAATTATTACGCCAAAATTGCATTTTTAAGATTAATATTCCAAATTTTTAATGAGATTTAAAATCAAAACATTCACATTTATTTTCTAGAATTTTTTATTTTCTGGATTGTGTCATTGTTAAAGCAAATGAACGACATACATATACTCAATGCTTTAAAATATAAAAATATAATTAAAAAAAGAGCTTTTTCATTTTTAGGATTGCTAGCAGTTAAGGAAAATAGGGAAAACCAGAAAAAAGTCAGAGAAAAAATGGTCAAGAAAAATTGAGAAAAGTCAGGAAATCGAGAAATTTATTAACCTAAAATAAAATTACTGTAATACCAAGTTCTACATGTTTAAACTTTACTTTTCGAAAACTGTTAAATAGAATCTTTTAATTATTTTAAGAAATATTGTAAATTTTTTATTGACTTTTTAATTTTGCAGTAAACAATATGTAGAAAGTCATTAACATATAAGTTAAAAAAAAATCTTAATAAATAATGTGCAAAACAAAGACAAAATATTCGCCGTTTTTTGTAATTTATTTATTTTTGAACGTATATGCCAGTTATCGTATTGTAAGTTGTATTATACATTGTATTGTTATTTATTATATTTTTTTTTAACTTATTCTTACAGGTAATTCTTCGTTTTATTCTTACAGATAATTCTTTGTGTGTATTCATGCTCTTTCTAAAGAAAAGTGCATATGATACTCAATATGACTTTTTATTTTTATTACATGCTTCTTTCAAGTTTTAAGTTCTTTCAAGGAAAAATTAGGGAATAAGGTAAACATTCCAGTGACACGCATCTATGTCTTGACATACAAAATTTATTATTTTTAATCTCTTTCTCCTCTCTCTCTCTCTCTCTCTCTCTCTCTCTCTCTCT